CCAAAATTCAATTTGGTATCAAGAGATACCCTAGATACCTCACAGTTCTTAACCATTCAAACGACTTCCCCTCGAGTAATATATTGTGGGAGAGCAGAGGCCTACGCTTAGCGAATAGCAAAAAACTGGTTTTGGAAGAGTTAATTTTCAGCTTCCATCTAGTGCAGAACCGTCTTACTCTTTCCAGCTCCTTATTAATGTTTTTTACGATCGCACTGATCCTCCAGGATGAACTGTAATGCGCGATGTCGTCGGCGTACAAAGCGACTTGGCAGGAATTGGGCGTAGGCAATGCATTTAAAAAGATGCAAAAAAGTGTAGGTCCCAGAATTGAACCCTGAGGCACACCTGCTTTGATGGCAAAACGGGAGGAGAGAGTATTATGAAGGGCTACTCGAAAAAACCTCAAATGAAGGTAACTGTGTACGACCTTAGTAATGTATTTTGGGAAGTTGTATTTAATCCTTCTGTAAATTATACCATTATGCCATGCAGTACCAAAGGCTTTCTTCAAATCAAGAAGGACCAGTCCCGTGTGTTTTTTAATGTTGAAACCTTCAGTTACGTGATTAACTATTCTAGCAACTTGACCTACGGTGCTAAGCCAAATTGTTCATTCTTAATTATATTATGGGTATCTAGATGAATTTCGTACCTTTTAGCTGACACCTTTTCAAAGATCTTGCTAAAAAAAAAGCTCAAGAAAAATAAGAAACCCTATTGAACAATATTCGTATTTTATTATGTATTTGTAAAATTTGTATTTAATAATTGGCATTGTTTAACAACAATGATATTCTACGTGTGGGTGTATGTTTTTTATAATTAACTATTATTTAACCCATGCTAGCATACAAACTTGTCAGTTATTTATACTTTTTTTATTATATATTTTTAACAAGCAGTATTTCGTTCATATAATCTTAGTAAATTCGTTCTTTTGTAAAGTTACTTATTAACACCTGCTACTGAGTCGCTTCAGTGGGAAATTATAGCTCAACGTTGTTCGCAAAGTGAAATACTGGACATAATATTGGTTGGTCCCGGGTATGTACAGGAAATTATCGTCCTGCCGCAGGGCTATTCCGGAGGACGTTATGTCGAAAGGAGTCGCATTACGACCACAAATCCCCATTGTTGCCAGGACGATAGGATGACAATGCGGCAAAGACGGAATTAACGGACGTTAAGATAAAGTTGTCCATTTTTCATATTTTACCGTTAAAATATTTCTCGGTTGGTTAAATGAGAGTGAGATGAGATTTCATTTAAGCCTGTTTAACAATGAATCTACTTTCACCGGGGTTATCTCGTTAAATAACGACAATAGCTAATATTAGTCGACAAATAACCCTTAGTAGTGACGCCGTGAAGTTGGCCAACATTGTTCAATAAATGTTGCGTGCAGACTGCTTAAACACCAATTCAAAAGGGGGAAACGAAATTTCGAAAAGACTTATTTCCTACTTGTTGATTTAATGTAAGTACAGCGAAATAAATTAATTATTCGTGGTGGTTTTAAAACCGCATCCAGAATTTCCAGTTTTCTCAATACATATATTTTCGCAAACGTTTTGGAAGCTGTACTTCTTTTTTCAAGGAAGGACTTCAACGCGATTACATTTTTAACAAAATCACTAGTTTCGTGGTCCGCTTGACCAATTAAATCTCACAATTAATTAAGGTTTTTAGTTGAGATAAAAAAGTCAATGGCACGAGCGGGATTCGAACCTACGATCTTCGGCTAAATACGCCGCTGCTCTACCACTTGAGCTATCGTGACCTCGATCAACTCGGACACTAACGTCCCATCTCAACCACACCTTTTGAATTTTCCCTCCTTTTTTTATTTCAACTAAAAACCTTAATTAATTGTAATATATTAATTGGTCAAGAGGACCACGAAATTAGTGAATTTAATATTTAAAATGAAGTATACTTCACCAAAGCTCTCCGTGGCCATTTCATTTGTCGTCGAGAATCCAATCCGATTTCACGGCATTTGAAAGATGGCAAAAAGAAGGGAAAATTTAAAACGTGCGGTTGAGATGGGAAGTTAGTGTCCGAGTGGATCGAGGTCACGATAGCTGAAGTGGTAGAGCAGCGGCGTATCATGCCGAAGATCGTGGGTTCGAATCCCGCTCGTGCCATTGACTTTTTATCTCAACTAAAAACTTTAATTAATTGTAATATATTAATTGGTCAAGCGGGCCACGAAATTAGTGAATTTAAAATATACCTTCACTAAAGTTCTCCGTGGCCATTTCATTTGTCGCCGAGAATCAAATTGATTACACGACATTTGAAAAATGGCAAAAAGGAGGGAAAACTCAAAAGGTGGGGTTGAGATGGGAAGTTGGTGTCCGAGTGGATCGAGGTCACGATAGCTCAAGTGGTAGAGCAGCGGCGTATCAAGCCGAAGATCGTGGGTTCGAATCCCGCTCGTGCCATTGACTTTTTTATCTCAACTGACAACTTTAATTAATTTTAAAAAAATTTGACCATATTCAATATTTTAAAGGATAATACGTATTTTACTCACATTAAATAATACTGTCGAAATATCTGGTGTGCATTCAGTAAAAAAATATAAAACTTCCAAAACCTTGGCCAATAAATATATGTACTGACAATGACTAAAACCTGGAAGCCATTTCAAAAACAACCACCAATAATAAAAAAATTTCCAAATTCTCCTCTTTAAAAACTAATTTCCATAATTTACTCTTAAAAAATCCAACAATAAATTGGTTTCCGATCCCTCCATTCTACCATTTAGCAGGGCTTTAAAGCAATCGATGCGATTATATTTTTGGATTTTAGACGATATATTTTTATGGTTTATTGTACTGTTTGAGACTATTTTAGAAAACAAAGAATATTGCTCAGCCTTATTTCTGGATGCTATGGATGCAGGCGACAGAGATCCCGGTTTCAAGATAAAAAAGTATCCTTCCCAACACCTACATCATCCTGAAGTCGCAGTTTTACGGTGAGAAATGTCACTGATTTCAGACACCTGCGTTCCGCAGAGGAGTATCCTTGGTCCTAGGTTTTAACCTAGGTCCAATCCAGTTTTTACAGATTACACCGCTGACATACCACACGCCCCAACACTCAAATCAAAATCTTCGCTGGCAACACCGCACACTGAGCCTATCCTAGTAACAGAAGTAACCCAAGAACTCGGTGGTGCATTAAGCTAATTTATTGACATAAACAAAACAATTCCATCCAACCAAATCCGCTGCCTTGGTTTCTAGTTGAAGAGCAGACTTACATGAAGTCGTAGCCTTAAACTAAAACGAAAAGAACTCAACCGAAGATACGGACAATAATAAGTCGTCTTTTTGAACCTCACGGTAGAAAACAAATCAACAATAAAAAAATAATCCAGTTATGTTCTAGCGGTCAACTGACCAAGTTACTTCTTTCAATTAATTAATCTTTTTATGTAAGGGCTTGGTTGAGATAAAAAAGTCATTGTCACGAGCGGGATTCGAACCCACGACCTTTGGCTTGTTGCACGTTGAGTTGGGGAGTTGGTGTCCGAGTAGACACTGGCTTTTTTATCTCAACCAAGACCTTACATAAAAAGAATAATTAATTGGAAAAAAAATCATTAGACCGATTTTGAACGGAGTCGAGATGTGGGACTGAACAAAAACCTTCCAAACCTTCCAATTTCCAAATAATCCAATACTTTCAATCAAAAATTCAATACTCCGTTCTACTGTAGAAAAGTGTGGTGTTTCGTGACTGTTAGTTAATAATTATTTGGAGATCGTGAGATGCGGTCTGATGTGACGTAAGTTTTAGAAAAACATTTTCTTCGTCGTGCCAACGTTTCGATCTTTATTGAGATCATCTTCAGATCATGATGGCACAGATGGCACGACAAAGAAAATGTTTTTCTAAAACCTACGTCACACCAGACCGCATCTCACCATCTCCAAATAATCACTCCCTTCTACGTTACTAACTTTTTTTTGTTCAATTATCTAAATAATCTCTTTAGGGGAATAGCACGATACCCTTAAAATCCAAGATGGTTTCCCAGCCCTAACTTTCGTCCGCCCATTAGGTCATTCGTGTGTCCGTTTCCTCACTGTCGTCCTTATAGTTCAATTGCAGGCCCTTCCTGGGGGGATGTTGTTCGTGGGTCGCCCTTTCTCCCGATCCAGGTGGCCGTACGCTATCCCCGGCGACGAACGGATTAAGGACAATGTAAGGAGAATCTTGAGGAGGTGTTATACAAACCTTACATAATGACATGAGCGTCTTGATTGTACCTCAGGCTCTACTAGCTCTAGATCCACCATCAAACCGTCCTCGAAGACCTAGACATCCCATTCATGAAGGATGTTCATCATCAATATAAAAGGTGTTGCCAATGGACAACATAGTTAAGTGACTCAAACATCTTAATGAACCACATAAAAAAATTGCTTACTATAATCATTATAGTGAACCGGCGGTAGCCAGTCAGTCACCTGCGGTCGTGAGTTCGATTTCCACGCTTCTGGAGTTTTTTCTCACTTCCCTTTCCCCAAAAACGTCATAAGGTCATAAAACATCGTTGAATATGTAAATAATAAATAAATATTTAAAAAGAATGTTTTGATGATATGGTTCATAATCATAATGATTGAAGTGAATTATACATTTTAAACAAAACAACTAGAAATTAAGTCCAATTTGAAAGCTTTTCAGTTCATAATTTTCCTTCATTTTTATTTCAATTTTTTTCATATCGAATGAATTCAATAAAAAAATTCATGTTTCACATTAATGAAAATATCAAATCTTCACAAATACAATATAATTTTAATTAGTGATTTATATGTTTTGTTGTCAACCGAAAAAATAGTACTTGTCCAAAGTGCGATGTTCAATACAACCTAATTGTTCAAAAATTTTCAGATTTTCTTAGACAAGTAGTCTGATTATCAATCAGCACTGATACAGATGGATTTATAATGTTCTTTTTTTATTTACAGTCAACAGTTCAGCCTTCAACTGTCGGCTTTTCGATCGGCCGATTGACTACGCTAATCCCAGCTGTTCAAACGGTACTGTCGCATAATTGTAGAATATGATGCTCCGTACTGTAGAATAAATAATATCACAACAAGCACGATAATGCACAAGGGTTGACAAACCATAGATAGCCACTATTAGATTTGATAAAAAAATTATTTAGAATTATTCAATCCATAAACAGTGAACGATTTTGTAGTTAATATAAAATTTCCCTAAAACCACTTGAAATAGATAAGTGGCATGGTTTTTTTTATTTTTTATGTTTATAACTATACACACGGAAAAGCCTTGTTTATTAACTGTCAGAACGATTCGAAAAAACAATTTGTTCCGACAGCCAAATAATGTTCAACGTTTCTGCTAGCAATGTGAAAATGAATGGTAAAAAAGTTAAATAACAGCTTTTTGCCATTTTGTCAGTATACTGGCCATAGAAAGACCTTACATTTTCATGTAATACCCCAGAAGTTTTGTAAAATACATTTGTTTATTTATTTAATACTAATTTTATTTATTGTATATAAATATATGTGTATTCTTGCACCTGTACAATCTAGTTTTGTCACATTTAAATGGAACCACCTAGTACAGTCTAACAAAGATGCTGAGATTTTCAAAGTGTCATTCTAAACTCCAGTTTTTTAAATATTTGTCATCAGTCAAAAAAAAATTATTGTCTATTTTTAAATAGAAAAATGATTTATATTAATGGAATGATTGAAGTTGTGGTCAAGTTTGAGGTGTTTCTTAATCCAAAGACAATTCCGCCGAGATTTCGACTTTATTTGAAGTCGTCCTCAGGCCTGAATTATAAACACTTTTTGTACAAGTATCATATTTTTATCATATTTAAAATTTTAAAAAAATGAACTTACATTTCAGGAAACTGGTAATAAAATAGTAATATATTCATTTTCATATTTGCTTATATATACTGCACATCAAAAAAACCGACCACCTGCTTTTCGCACGAAAAAATGGCCAAATTTGAAAATGCATATTTTCTCCGCCTTTTAAGTCACAGACCTGCGCTAAGTCTCGTTTTTGAGAAAGTTTTACGGTGAACAAGATGGCTTTTTAAATGTTTTCCAAGCTTTAGTCATTCATCGGTCATTTTCAAAATTCGGGAACAAGTAAATTTTTGCACCTTTTCATGGAAACTTCAAATTGAGCTGTGGAGCCTGGAAATCGTCCTATAGCGGCGTCATAAACTTTTCTTTTTTTATGGTCAGTGTATTATAAATACATACCTAAACATTATCTTACTTCTCCATGTGATTAATCCACTCTTTAAATGTTATTTTATGGCATAACATAAGAGCCAAAAAACAACAATAATTTTCATCTTTAAACCGAAAAAAATCAAGAAAAAGTTTAAAATAACTTTTTATGAGTAGTAAAATGGTGGATTAATCACACAAAGAAGTAAGCTAATTTAATGTATTTATTGATTTATTTATAATATATGGGAGACCAACATTGGTTGGCGACTTCCCTCAAGACATAATGTACAATGTATAAATGTAAAAATGTAAATAACCTCAAATTACTATATGTATATTTTATTATATAGGTAGTAATAAATGAAATAAAATAATAAGTAAAAAATATATAATATAAAAACAAATATTAAAATGAATATTTCAATATAATATTATCAGTGCCCTCAAATGTATGTTTTAATTCCATTATATTTCATGGTCCGATTGACCAAATAACTTCTTTCATTTAATTAATCTTTATATAAGGTATTGGTTGAAATGAAAAAGCTAGTGTCACGAGCGGGATTCGAACCCATGACTTTCGGCTCAATACGCCGCTGCTCAAACCGTTTGAGCTATCGTGACTTCGAAGAAAGCCTAATTACACGACATTTGAAAAATGGAAAAAAGGAGGGAAAATTCGAAAGGTGGGGTTGAGATGGGAAGTTGGTGTCCGAGTGGATCGAGATCACGATAGCTCAAGTGGTAGAGCAGCGGCGTATCAAGCCAAAGATCGTGGGTTGGAATCCCGCTCCTGCCTTTGATTTTTTATCTCAACTGAAAACGTTAATTTTTTTTTTTAATTGACTCTACCACTTGAGCTATCGTGACGGTTGAGATGGGAAGTTGGTGTCCGAGAGGATCCAAGTCACGGTACCTCAAGTGGTTAGAGCAGCGGCGTAGTCGAAGCTCGTCGGTTCGAATCCCGCTCGTGACACTAGCTTTTTCATTTCAACCAATACCTTACATAAAAATTAATTAACTGAAAGTATATTTTAATATTTTTAATTGTAAAATAATAATTATAATTCTACGAAATGTAGTTATATTTCAGGCCCTAAGATGACTTCAAAGTCGAAATCCCGGCAGAACTGTCTTTGGATTAAGAAACACCTTCACCCTTCACCACAACATCGATCATTACTTCCGTATAATTACAACTGCTAGTCGATACTAGCAACAACGTATAAAAATGCTCATTTTGGAAATTGGTGGATCCTTTAAAAAGTATAATCCTCCTCATTTATATCGACACTGTATTTCAATTGTTGCTACCTGGGTGAAAAGGTTTTGTATTTTGGCGCAGCCCGGGATGACAACAGTTGGAACGGGGTCAGCCGGCTCAATTGGACCCGGAGCGAAAAAATAAACTGCCCTCCTTTGTCTTTTGGGATTTCAAAGGGATTGAGCCTTGGATCCAAAAGTGGCTCGGCTCTCGTGACAGAATAAGTACGAGTTTTAAAGCAGCAATGTTCGAAAAAAACCCACATATTTTTAGATTTTTTAAGAGAGGTAAAAATTGAAAACTGTACCTACGCACTTTCATTTATCGTTCTTTGTATGTATAATATTTATCCCAACAAAAATTTAACTGTAAAAAAAGGCCAAGTTCCAGACACACTCCAAAATAATTAGCCTATTGTAATGATATCTACATTGTGTCCAAATCTTATCTTTTAGTCCACCATAACTTGAGAGATTTTTAAAAAATTAAACAAACTAAGACACACTCCCTCCCAAAAAAAGTCAACCTACCAAAGTTGCACACGGTTATTTTATTTTTATTGCTTAACAATTGGCCAGTTTCTGAATGAGGATTAAAACATCAGGACTCATACAAGAAAGGTGGGTGAAGAGAAGTTACAGAAAGAACTCAGAGGACAAGAAAAAAGTGCCCGACTCCTTTTTGCTCTTTCAGAAGCTGACCAAGTGTTAAACAATAAAAATAAAAGAGCAGTGTTGCCCAACACACCAGTCTATATCAGTTTGGAACCCAAAAAATGTTTAAGTGACTAATTGGTAAATATAGGCAGCGAGAAAAAATTAAAGAACAGAATAGATAGTCCATTAGATTTTGCGGTCCGATTGACCTAGTAACTTCTTTCATTCAATTAATCTTTATGTAAGGTATGGGGGAGAAAAGTGGCATAAAAATTGCAAAAAGGAGGGAGGTTGAGTTGGGAAGTTGGTTTTCGAGGGGATCGAAGTCACGATAGCTCAAGTGGTTAGAGCATCGGCGTATTTAGCCGAAGGTCGTGGGTTCGAATCCCGCTCGTGACTGACTTTTTATCTCATCCAATACCTTGCATAAAGATTAATTAATTAAAAGAAAATAGATAATGTTGATGAGAGAGAGTACTAAGTAGCAGGGGTTTAGTATTGCCTAGGCACTGCAGCCTTTTGGCTTACTGTATTTTTCCTCATTCCCTAGTTAAAGACCCATGTTATAAGAAACAGGTCATTGATCAACATTGTTGCAACTTTTTCCGCGGTATTCTTGATATTCTAGATTATTTCTTTAATGACTGGTTGTATTATATTTGAAAATATTACGGTGGGGATTTCATCCTCCCCATTGCATAACCTATAGATGTAGTCATCAGTGAGCAGACCCGCAGTGTGTAAGAGTTTTCTCAGGTAGCATTGACTGGTAAACCTATCATTACTCTGAATTTAGCCTGTTTAAATCGTAAATTTACTGTGCCTGACAGATTTGGAGTTCGTCCCCTTTTATTTGTAAATCCATTCTTAGATTTCTACGCTTATATATGGTCTTGCAGATCCTATTCTGTTCTTTTTGTCTGCTTATTAGTTTTACCAGTATTTTTAAGATGAATATGGATGTTTCCTTTTACATGATAATGCTTTTAGATTTGTTTTATAATAGGGTGATGGATGAATATCGAGTACTCTACCCCTCTAACTGAGTGAATGGTATGTAAATAGAAAAAGCTTTTTCAATAATAACTAAAAAATTAATATATGGAATTTAGTGACCGTTAGTTAATTTGAAGATCGTGAGATGCAGTCTGGTGTATCGTACGTTTTAGAAAAACATTTTCTTTGTCGTGACGACGTTTCGATCTTTATTGAGATCATCTTCAGGGCCTTGTGTTATCTGCAATTCAACAAAAAAGTTCTCTGATTGTCGATGCAAGTGTTTTTTCATTGCTGGCAATGTCCTTCAGAATACTCTTTGCTTGGTGTCCATATTTAGTTGAAATCTGTCCATAGAATCCCATGTTCTTTGTTATTGAATTGTGTAGAAATGTGTGGTGTTTAGTGACCTACATCTGAAAACCTATATCACACCACACCGCATCTCACGATCTCCAAATAATAAAAAATTACTTATAAAATGCTTAAACAATAGAAAATTAAAGTAATCTGATTAGAAAATTATTGGATAGTAGAGTGGAGAATTTACGCCGGCCCATTAGGAATCGGCTGATGGTTCCTAGGCAACTGGGTCAAACTACCGAATGGAACTTGATAATGGTACGTCATTTCACTTGTTATAAGGTTTAACGCCCCTCGATATGAAGGGGCGTCGATAGAGGGCCGGAAATGCTGCCGTTTTATAAATGAGATAAAGCCTAGAGTTCGCGATATTCGCCGGCGCAATTCGAACACTAGGGCAAATTCCCCATGAATAAGACAACGCCCCGTGGCTCGGGACGGGTGTCATATCGGAAAAGACTGTCTATCCCCTTTATATCCCGTATCACGTATTAAAATATGCGGAGGGTGGAAAACTTGGAGATATT